CTATCACAATTCCAAGCAAGATATCAACAAAAACAATCATAAGCCAAGCAAAGAGAGACACACACGATATTTAACATGGAAAACCCCTCCAATGTGAAGGGTAAAAAACCCCTCAGAGACCTTGGATTCACATCCATGTCACTTATTTTAAAAGTACTTTTTCTAATAATAAGTACTTCTTACCCTCCTTTTTACCAAACACCCATAAGTACTTAAAAACCACTTAATGTGGTCCCATGCCTTTTAAGTGTTCTCAAATAGGACCTTAGTTTCATGGATTTAACATATTCTTTAGTTTGTATTTTATTAAAACACACCTTACAATCAATTTATTATTCATTTGACAAGAGTGGAAAATGACAGTTTTAACCCTAATCTCCATTCGCACAAATTTAATCTATGCAAAATATAAATGAGAATGTCATTTTTGCCCCTGATAAAACCATGATAACCACTTAGCTTATTCAATTCTGTTCTTAGTTCAAAGAAGGAAGATATAAATGATGTTTATTTCATAAAGCTTGATATGAAGTGTGAAAGGGATTTTCAGAATAAACAACAATGGCCACATGCCCTTAAACATTTCCTAGTCGATTTTCGTGGTCACCAAACTACTTCGATGTAAAACAAATTGTTGAACAATTTCTATAAACTCAAGATAAAAAAGAAAGAAATAAAAGAGGTCAAAGCAAATGTTGGAGCTTCAAACAGTCATAACTTTTAATTTGGGCATTGCTTTTTTCCTTAAAAAACCCTTCTTTTATAGTAAACTAGTAAGGACCTATTATGCACAGGCTTTCTTGACTGAATTTTAGGAGTCTTATCACAGCCTTGATTCCTAATTAGGCCAAGCCAGATTAAATGCACCCTCAAATAGGCTCCAACATAAGCAAGGGGTAAAGCAACCATAGATCATTGAGTTTAGTTATTTTAATGGAAAAATTGTAACATTTCTAGGTTTAATTCCACCTGACCCATTATTTTTTCAAAATTGAAAATATGGTTGATTTGGGTGGTGTTTGGCACCATGATCATCTTGATTGGATGAACACCCATTCTGCTGGTTGTGGATAGGTGGACCGGTTCCGTCCACACTCTACTTTTGATCCCCTGCTTCACACTCTCCCTGAAAGGCAAAAACCATACTGTCTATTTTACATTTTAATTTCTTTGTCAATAAAATATTAATTATTTTACTTAATTTTTTTAATTTTTTAAAATTTTAATGTTTTATCAATAAAATAATATTTTTAAATATTTAAATTATATTTTTTAAATTTTTAATTATTTCACTATCTTTTGTAAAAAAAATAATATTTATTGGTTAGCATTAATTCATTGATGCATTTTTCAATATATTTATCATATAAAATGACAAAATTAGATATTTATGATTAATTGTGTAGATCAAGGTTTTCGAACTGCCGTTGACTCAGACGGTCGGACCGTTCGGCCTAGGAACCATCCAAGCAAACGGTTCTATTTTACCCCAAACCTGGTTTTTGGCCAAAAACCATTTAAAAAGTCAACAACCAGAAAATGAATAATTAAATTACAATAAATTAATTAAATTAAAATAAAATTAATGCAATAAATTTCAGTAAATGAAAATAGAAGAATTTTTACTCGAATTACAACAGTTGTATTTTCAAAATATTTTACCAAAATAACTATTTATTATTTTTCAATAATTTAATTAATATTTTACGGTGATAATCAATAACTTAAAATTATTTTACCAAAATATTTTACAATGAATATAGAGAAAATTTACTGATAATCAATAATTAATAGTTTGATGACAATTGATAATTCGATTATTAAATTAATACACTGCCGGGTTTTATTCGGGGTAGGGTGGAAAATGGATCCAAACCGGACCGGTTTTGGTTCCAAAATGGACTTGACCAATTGGGTTTTGAACATAATGGATTGGATCCGACGCATATGTATCATCTTTCCAACCCGTTCAGAATTACAGTGTTCGCTCAAGTGAACACAGTACCTATATTTTCGTAATCTAGTCTAGTAACCCGTCGACGTTGAACACGCACAACACGTCTGGTCACTGCCAGTGGATCTACCAAGTGTCATATGTCAGATGTGAAACAAATACCAAATTCCAAATCGAGAAAATCAGAGTTCATCTCTTACCTGTGAGTGATTTGAAAGGAATATTGGTTGAACCGAAACAAATGCCAAATGCTCGAGTGATTTGAATTTGTCCCGAATGCCAAAACAAAGTTCGTCCCATCAAAAATGCTGTGAAAACGAAAGGATGATTAAACAGAATTGAACAGAGAATAACGTCAAACTGAAATACTGCTGTCTTGTCTCAATATTTGATTTTATATCCAGATTAGTTAGACCAGACATCAAATTAAATTAAATCAGACTCCAAAAATATTTGATTTTCCATCTAGTTTTGTTAGAGCAAACATCAAATTTAGATCAGACTCCAATGGACTATACTTTGACGTGAGAAGACAGATCATCTCATCAATACTATATAGGGAGGTGATGACATTGTTCTCCCAACATTTTTCAACAACTTCTCATTAAAACGAAAACAGGGAAGGTAGTCTGATCTTGAACACGAACTGCGGAATTAATCTAAAAATATGATTTAACTGAAAAGTAAAATAATAAAAAACGTAATCTAAAAACATACCTGCTTTGTGTTCACATAAGCACTACCAAAAACTGGAGGATGCAGATTCATTCTTCTGTGATTATCCAAGTATGATCGAAATGAAGGCGTAGGAGAGTTTCCTATTGGACGGTGCAGAAAATCCTTTGTACCCTGGGTGTAGAGGATGCGAGTTCGGTAGTTGTGCAACTATGCTAAAGTTCCTATTATTATTTTCCTGCCCCAAAATAATTTCCCACATGCAAGTTATTTTATCCATTCTTTTAATCAAGGTTTTAAAAACTAACTGGGAATAGAACCATTCTAGCCACTGGTTTTTGGGTTGATAGTCTGATTTTCAGGTTCTAATAGATGATGGCCTGTTCCAATTTAAAAAAATAAAATAACTCAAAACCATTGAACAGGTTGAAGGGATCGATGATTAGACCACCCAGGTCAGCAGGTCGCTGACCTAATCAAAGGTTTCTGACCAAGAACCAGCTTAAGGGTGAAACGGAACCTGTTACCTGGACAGTTCTTGGGCTGAACGTGATCCAACCGTTCGAAAACACTGAGATGGCGAGGATGAAACACATTTTTCAGATAAAATATTGAACATTTAGTAATTTTCCAGGTAGAATTTTCAAGGCAAATGTCCAAAATGAAACCACATCTGCACCACATAGAACACGCCCCACATGCACCTTACAGCATGCATTGGGAACATCTCTCCTACTTGTCATTGGGAGATGTTCCAAATATACATTTGGAATATGTTGTGGAGCGTATGTGAGACACTCTCTATAGGGCACAAATGTGAACTCATACAAAATAACTTATAAATAATAGAAAGAAGAGATTTATATTTGTATGATGAATTCATGATGATTATTAATCAAAAGAAACAAAACATAAAACCAATATTAGGAGGGTCTACTAATATCAAACAGTGATAGAAAATCTGCTACTAGGTTTTATTGCTCCGATACCATGTAAACAACCCTATTCAGTTCTAGGTCAAAGTAGAGAAGAAGAAGAAGGGTTCGGCTAGTTGAGGAAAAGTTAGCCCTCACTAGTCGATCCACTTGTATTTATCTCAAATAAATTCAATTACAAGAAAGACAATATTGTCCCTTATAAGTGATGGGACACATAACTTAAACTTGAATAAAACAGACCTTTCACTCTCAAATAGATAAACCTAAAAAACCAAAATACCCCTTGTGAAATCTAACAAAGAACAAAAACTCTTTGAGTACGGTCCTAATGAATCCTTGGCTAGTCTCTACAGCAAAAGAAATCCCATCTGTTTTTAAGTTGCACTCATGTTCATGAAGATTCAAAAGAAAGCAGTCCAGTTGATGGCAGCGACAGTACCCATTAGTAAAGAAAGTCAATGCCTCCAACTTCCTGTTGTATAACAAAGAGAGAAGTTAGTTTGATCTCCAAAGCCAAAGAGGTCAAGAGATAATAAACGAGACGTGTTTATTTTTGCAGTTCTTAAAATGGTCGAGTTCTGACTTAAATAAATCAGAAATGAATCTTTCACATTGCCAAAAACCCACCAATTACCCATCCAAGGGTGTAATGAACTTGAATTTGTAAAGATGAGAGATAAGCATTACAGAAGGAAAACCTTGGGGGTAATGAATTGTTGGGGCCTTCCATCCAACAGATGGAAAAGCCCTCCAAAAATAGGCGTATGCCGCTGAATGCGGCGAGAACACGGTATTCTTTAGTAAAAGGCGAAAGAATAGTTCGCTCTGTGCTCACCGCACGGCTGCGTGAAGATGCTTTAACGCTAAATGAGTATTATATAAAGTTCATCGTGAATGGAGTTCTCCTTTTATTCCGATATGGGATTCATTCACAATCAACCAGTAAACAGTAATCGTGATCTTACTGTTCAAATTTTACCGTCAATGCATTGACGTGTTCGTCATCCATTAAAAGCAAAGTTATGTGTTCCTTGATTACAGCTTATTGACTGTATTTATCAGACTCAATAAGCGAGGCAACAGAATTCTGTAGAGAGTCAGTCCAGATGATATGAAATGGAAGGAATTGATGCTTCCTGCGCTCAGTAACATATGAAGCAATGTAACAACAGTCAAGGTGGAGCAGCACGAGGCTCCTCCAACAGGAAATGGATAGGCTTCAATGCGTTTCCTTCAAGAATAATAACAGTCAAAGTGACCTTCAAAACACAGCCCAAACTTCACCACCCAGAGACTGACTGAGATGGAGGAGACAGCCTAAGACTAAGAGCTATTCTGGCTACATGATTACCCTGATGATTTCTACAGATATTATTCCTACATCAATTGAATGAGAAGAGAATGTTGCATCAACATTACCTTAGACCAACTGGAGGTGTAGTCCAGTAAAATAGAAGTTTGTTTACCGAGCATAGATTCCAGAATTTACTTCCAGCAATGAATATTGTTCGGTTTGCCCTTAAAGATGAAGAGCCCAGAAAAGGAAATCTGGGTTAGGAGAAAACAGCGTTTTAATTAATAGATATAACAGCTTAAAAAAAATTTAAATGAATATAAAACAGTAAAAATTAAAAAATGGAGAATTGGGTTAGGGGACGCGCGAACGCGTACCGCCAATATAGCAAATTATGACGTACACTCTCCCATTTGGGGATATGTTAGACTGAAACCCCTCCTTTCAGTGCAATGGCGGTCGCCAAACTAGAAGATGGGCCTTCTTGATCCCCCGTTGACCCCGTCCAGTTAAGTATGATTTTCCCTCCCTCGTTGTTCATACTTATACCCCCCTCACTTATTTGTTTCTTTCCTATCTTACCGATGTGGGAACGGAAACAAAACAGAATATTACTGCTTGGACATACTCAGTACTCACTCACCTGTCATACCTTCTTTAAACAAACTTAAGCTGTCTCTGCATCAACACAAGGAAACTATGTTTATTGCCTTATTGGTGAAGTTGGTTTATTTGTTTCATTAATTAGAGAATTATAGTTGRTTCAAGTCTCATGGAAGTGATATTGAACTCATTTTAGCATCACCAAATTGCGTGATTACTGTGTTAACCATGAAGTAACATTGTTGAAACTCTTGCTACATGTCTAGAATAAGCTCYTTTTGATGAAAATTTTTTGGATTGAAATACATGAGCTTTTAATCCCTAATATCACCAGGAAAATCTCCATATACAAAGTACAAAGTAGGTTATAAGGCTGACACAGATATGTGGAATAAATATATTATTGATTCAAAAGTTTCTACTTAGACTTGTTCATTTTACTCTGTAAGACCAAATCATGGTGCAAGACAAACACATTTCTACTTTAAACATTGTTGGACACCTTTAATTCGTAACTCTATTTTCATTATCCTTCACTTCTCCCATATTTTACATGTCCAACAAGGACAAATTCTCAGAAAACGAAAAAAAAAAAAACATACTTTCTATGATTTCATACAATCACAGCTTCCACAAAACCACAAAAATCCATAAAGAAATCATCAATCTCTCCTGTTGCCTTGTCAATGCCCATTTCTTCTCATCAAGGAATCGGAGGGTCTGGTGCTGGGGGAATTGGTGTTGGTTTTCCTCCACCAGCACCAGGCGGATATTGTCGTCGACAGAGCACCCTGTCAAAAACGATAGAAGATGTGTTAAATTCAGTCTTTGCAGGCTTCATACAAAAAGAACAGATTTCACCAAAAATAAATTGTTTATGTACCTCTGATACACAAGAGACAACAAAAGAACAA